GCCTGCCAAGCTGCAGCTGCAGGTCTCTGGGTCGCAGACCTCCCGGCAGTCGCAGCCGCAGTCCTCCCGGGACAGACGGATGTTGTGCAGCTCCCGCTTCTCCTCCTTGTCGATCTTCTTCACCCCCACGGCTTTCAGCAGCGCGCGTCTCTTCTTGGCGGGGTAGGGCTGGAGGAAGAAGCCTTCCTCCAGGTCCACGTTGCTGACGTCGATGTCGTCGTCGGAGATGTCTTCGATGGTGAGCTGGTTGGCCTCCTCTGACTCCTTTGTGCCATTCATGGTTAACTGAGGGCCAAAAGAACAGGCAACGCATTAGGGATCTGTTGGGGACATGGAGCCACCAGCACCCCCAGGTCAGGAGAAACAAGAAAGGAAAGATCTGTCCTCCATGGTGGCCGACACCAGGACCAACATCTGCGTCGGACCCCCCAGAGACCTGACAGACACCTGACGTGGAGTTCAGTGTCTTTTCCATCACTTTTCAAGAGTACAGAACCAAGCTGAAAATCCCACGCCAGAGCCTGTGTTTTCTGGAGACCCAAACAGGGTGAAGGACCAGTGCCCCCAGGTCTCAGAGAGGCTCCTATTAAAAACTGGCCGTTAACTCATGACAGCTACCCGCCCCTCACCAACCCAGCCCCACGCTCTTACTCACTTTCCATTTCAACGCTTCCAACTTCTCCTCTTTCAATTTCTCTTCGAGTTTCCCCCGACGAACGTTTTCCTGCTCCTTCGAGAACTCCGCTAGCGTGAACTGCCGGGAGGAGCTGTGTTTGCTCACCATCCCCAGGGTACAGCCCCCGCGACTAGGCACACTCGTGAACCCCTGGCAGCGTGGGAAGTAAAACACAGTGACCCGGTCAAACTCCACATTGTTCTTCTTTAGTCGCTTGGATTTCTTCAGGATAGACGCGGCTAAAAATGGGGGAAGGAAAAAAAAAGCACAAAGTCAGCGCTGCCATCCCGCAGACAGAACAGAAATATTACAAACAGGCTGTAAATGTTACAAACAGGCAGGAGCTGCAATTACTCTCTCAACAGGGACATGGTGGGACAAGGTTACAGCGTCGCTGGATGGCTTCTGCTGTTTTAGGATCTAACACTTCAAAGGTGGGACGAGGATGGAGAGGAAGCTAAGCCAAGTCCTGATGCATCAGAGTCACTGAGCAGATTCACCCAAGGAAACGGCTGCTGCTTCTCCTTCCCGCTTGACTTCCTCCAGGAAACATACATTTGCTTGTTCTTCACGTGCAGCAGAGCGTAACGAACAAGCAACAAACCGTGCCTGTCTTGCTCTAAACCCAAGCGTTCAGGAGCTCATGGTCTGCTCCCGGGATGCCAGAGCACCGACGCCCCAGCGCTGCGCGGCTCCAGCTTTTGTGGCAGGGCAGAAAATAGCCTGAACGGCTGTTTTGCACAGAATCGCAGACTTGCAGGGGTTGGAAGGGACCTCTGTGGGTCATCTAGTCCAACCCCCCTGCGAAAGCAGGGTCACCTAGAGCAGGCTGCACAGGACCGCGTCCAGGTGGGGTCTGAACATCTCTTTTTGTGGCACTTCCTTTCACCATCCACTGGGAGGAACTACGAAGCTACGGTTTATTCTCAAGAGACTCATTCGAGAGCAGCTGCAAAGATGTCGATCTTCATGCAGGTGATCCCAGGGTAAACACGGCAATACACGACTCTGGTTTATCTCAGACTGCTGGAACACGCCACACACCGTTTAAAGCGGGGCCTCTCCAGAGGTACCCAGTTCTGCGCGTCTGCACGTGCAAACGGAGCAAATGAAGGTGGACTAATCGGCCAGGGCAGTTTTGGAGTCAGTGAGTTTCCACGAACGTAGCTGGGCGCGGCGGTACTGGGTTACGGAGCCGCTTTTCCTGCTGCACGCACGTGCGAGGCAGCGACGCCCAGACTCGGGG